TAAAAACTCAGTTCAGTATCAGTGTCATAAATTAAACATGCATATGTTTATATTGTAAAGAATTCTTGATGTCAGGAAATCCAGTTTTCTTTTCAATTGGTAAAATAGGCATATCATGGTAGTGTTTTTCCAGAATATAGTAAAATAAATATTGCCTCTGCTTAGTACTTTTAAAACTGTGTTTTTCTTCTTCTTGTTTAGAAATTATGCTCAATCATAAAGTAGTAATTCAAAATTAAGTGTAATCCTACCACCCAGAAATTGCCAATGTTAAATATTTGGTATGCAGAATTAGGTTAGTTTCTTTCTGTTCAATTTTTTTTTTAATTTCCTGTAATCAACTTTGGTAGTTCTTTTAGAGTGCATGTCCTACAAGCTTCTTACATAGTTTATTCCTGGATATTTTGTTTTTTGTTTGTTTTGAGTGAGATATTTCCCATTACATTTGAATTGGTTATATTTATTATGTAACTGAGCACTTTGTTTAACCATTTATATTAGTTCTAATCGTGCATCTTTTGGTTCCACTACTTTTTCCGGGACAGTAACACAAACTACAATGCATAATGCTTCATAATGAAAGTGATATGCAAAATTCTGCTTAAAATCTAAAAGTGAATTCTGGTTGTTGGAAAAAAATACTGCTTAAGCTGGACTTTGGCCATCAACTAAAACACTTAAAATGTTATGGGATCTTTCATATGGAAATGACCAAGATTACATACGTAGTCAGTAGCAAAGAACTTTAGTTTCAAAATATTACATTATAATACAAGAACCTCTAAAAATGATGGTTTATTTTATAATCAATATGGTGGCCAACATTTATTATTTGATAAATTTGTTATCATAATTTATCAAATAAATAATTTGTTACCATATCCAAGATATTTCTACATATATTTATTTTTAAATTTAAATTTAATTTAATTTAAAGTGCCAGGATACATGCGCAGGACATGTAGGTTTGTTACATAGGTAAATGTCTGCCATGGTGGTTTGCTGCACATATCAACCTATCAACTAGGTATTAAGCCCCACATGGATTAGCTATTTATCCTGATACTCCCCCTCCCCCAGCCGCCTGCCAGGCCAAACTCAGGCCAGTATGCCTGATGAATATCGATGTAAAAACCCTCAATAAAATACTGGCAAACTGAATCCAGCAGCACATCAAAAAGCTTATCCACTACAATCAAGTCAGTTTCCTCCCCAGGATGCAAGGCTGGTTCAACAGATTAATAATTGTAATTCATCACATAAACAGAACTAAAGAGAAAACCAAATGATTAACAGAAAAAGCCTTTGATAAAATTTAACATCCCTTCATATTAAAAACTCTTAACAAACTGGGTATTGATGAAACATACCTCAAAATAATAAGAGCCATTTATGAGAAACCCACAGCCAATATCATACTGAATGGGCAAAAGCTGGAAGAATTCCACTTGAAAACTGGCACAATACAATGCCCTCTCCTACTGGTCCTATTTAACATAGTATTGAAAGTTCTGACCAGGGCAATCAGGCATGAGAAAGAAATAAAGAGTATTCAGATAGGAAGAAAGGAAATAAAACTGTTTCTCTGTGCAGATGACATGATCCTATATCTAGAAAACCCCATTGTCTCAGCCCAAAAGCTTCTTGAGTTGATAAACAACTTCAGCAAAGACTCGGAATACAAAATCATATGCAAAAATCACAAGCATTCCTATACACCAACAATAGACAAGCAGAGAGCCAAACAAGTGGAAAAACATTCCATCTTATGGATAGGAGGAATCAATATTGTGAAAATGGCCATACTGCCCAAAGTAATTTATAGATTCAATGCTATTTCCATTAAACTACCATTGATATTCTTCACAGAATTAGAAAAAAAGCTACTTTAAAATTCATATGGAACCAAAAAAGAGCCCATATAGCCAAGACAATACTATTTCTACATATTGGTATTGTTCTTAATATCATTTTGCCTGGCAGAATCCCCATTATAGAAGTCTCACCATTATGGGGTGATTGACTAGTCTACATATTTATAATCAGTTTAGAGTTTACAGGCTATCCATATGTAGTACAACCTTAACCCTAAATATAATTTACTTTTTCCTTCTTCAGGCTATTAAAAAAGATTTTCTTAGAAAAGAGAAGAATAAAAATGTTAACAATGTTGAAAAATTTGCCTCCTTATATAAATGATCTCTATTTTTTTACATCTCTAAAGAAGTCCTTATTTTTCATCTTCCCTGTAGAGACTGGCCATAAATAGATAAAAATGAAGCCATTTATTTGTCTATTTTACAAAAGTTTAGATTCTCCATCAACTTAGTAAAAACTTTACACTAAAATGTTTTTCAGCCCTCTAGCTGTTGTGACACTATCATTCCATTATATATCAAAGTGTTCTTCCTATGGTATAAGAAATTTCCTATAAAAATATTATTTTAAAATATTTTCAATAATTGAGTAGATCTAAAAGCGTTAACACTTTGTTAACATTCATAAGCAATTTCTAAAATGTCACATAATGTGAATATGGACTAATTTCTAAAATGACCTGTTCTTAAATTATTTAACATAAAAAAATTCTGTTCAAGTAGCTGTTACTCAGCCAGAGCATTTTAACTACAGGCTGAAGTAGCCACTTTGAATTTCCCACTAGTAAGCATAAAATTGAAATACCCTGAATGATGTATACTTGTTTGGGAATCAGGAAATGTTTGTTTTAATACAGTTTCATAAATCCCTTATATGAACTATGTGGAGCCAGATATATTTTAGGTTTTTCAGATTTTTATAAATGGGATAAAGAACATATGCCCTATATTTTTGAAACCCTGGTGGGGTCCAGGCAGCATTCCATAAGTAAGCAGATTAATATCTTTATATAAACATATGAAGGTTCACATTAATAGTGTAAACTTCTGTTTGGGCCAGGTTTGTCACCAAATGATTACAGCTCAGATTGGGTTTGGCCACCATTATTAAATACACCTTCATTTGCAGAGATTTTTGTATTATAATGTGAGATTTTGAAACTGAAGTTCTGCTACTGACTAGGTATATGATTTTGGTCATTTTTCTGAGCCTTATTCATCTCAGTGCTAAAATGAGAACTGAACTAAATAAATTATTTGTGAACTTTTCAGATTCTAAATCTGAATGTCTAATCATTTCTCTCACATAAGAAACATTACAATGAAATCAGTTTAATAGTACCTCAGCTTAATAACTTTTTTTTTTATAACTCTTTAGTTAACAGGCCTTCAACATTTTTGAAAGGCAGGTAGAAATTATATGTAATTTATGTATAAAGATAAAAGTATGCAGGTCAAGAAGTATTTCCACTTGGTCTTCTAGATAGTTGGAACCAAATGAGGTTTCAAGTTCATGAAACAGATTTAGCTACAACTTTGATTTCCAGAATGTATTCTAGGGTCAGATTTCTTATGGCCATAATTAAAATTTGAACAATATAGAGATGGTGAGAAACATTTTATGGCTTGCATGATTTTCTTCTGAAAACCAGGAGGAACAAGTTAGACAAGGTTAGACCAAGGTAGCCAAAAGAGAATCTGCACAACCCTATTTTGTTTCAGAATCTCAATGTTTGAGTCTCCATGCCAAGAAAAATGAGGCCTAAATCTAAAGGGGCTGGCTTTCCAGTGAAAGAAAATTACAACTAACCAATAATAGGACAGGGAGGTCTCCTGCGAGATAAAGATGGCAAACTTGAACAGGTAAGCTATGGATAGCAGAATGAAATGAAAACTAGGGAGGAGATGCAGTAGTCTAGAGCTAACAAACCAGCATAGATTTGTTTCTGGAGGCTTGCTTTGTCTGGTACTTGTGTTACAAAAAGGACAAAGGTATTTTTTATTATATTTGGGCATGGAATGCTCTTCAGTTTTCCATATTTTCTGCCACTCCTATGATCTTGCTCCTGTCATTTCTCTCCTTTAACTTACTAATGGCTGCAGAGTGAACTTACATTTGCCATTCCTGTCTGTAGGTTATACTATTAAAATGGATTAAAAGAAATGAGAAGGCTATGGTAAGAAGGGGGAGGCTACAGTAAGGACTTAGGAATTCTTGGTAACTTGGCAAAGTTTCCAAAAGTCATGGACCTTAACTATCTTCTCCTCCATTTAAGAAGGTTTAGGTTACTGAAAGGGCCACTAGACGTGGATAATTCAACCTAGTGGATGTGGAACACGAACTTTTGAAAAGTGAATACTGCTACTTAAAGAGCCTCCTGAAGAGTGTGGGGTGGAAGATCTTTAGCAGTCATCTATACCTTGAGAGGGAGAAGAAGGAAGCAGGATTGGGCAGATGAAAATACCAACTTCAATGCAGGTCCAAGAAAGTCTAGGCCAGTTTGGCAGGAGGCTCTGGAGCAAATATTACCTATTAGAGTGTCTCGCATCGCCCAAATAGCTTCACACCCCTGCCTTGCTCAGTCACTGGGTATGGGCTGCCCCAGAAAGCATATGCTTTTGGACAAGGCTCTTCTCTGCAGCGGAGTCCTATCCTAAAGGAGGTGACACCTGGAGTCTGTCTGCAGACTGCATTCCCACAGCCAGGCAGCAAGTCCTTTGATCTGGCTGGTGCATCTCTGTATCTACCAAAAGTGCCGTAATACTTGTAATAGAATTAGTCAGTAATTTATTCTTCAGTTTAAGTAATTTCTTTCCTCCCAGGAACACAAAATAAAACACTATAAAACTTCCTAATAACAAAATTTTTATCAATCACTGGAACAATCCAGCAGAGGAGGATTAAGAGGGAAAAGATTGGAAGGAGTGGACCAGAAGCAAGAAAGGCACACAAAAAATGCTAAAGAGAGGCTTCTAGGAGCAAGAAAAGCAAATTTTAATAAAATGCAAAGCATTACAGCACCCAGTCCTGGGTTTTACTTTTGAAAATACTTCAAGTAACACAGCTTTAAAAACATTTATAAAATAATATGAAATTTTAGTTATCTCTTGTTTCCTTGACAGATACAGAAAACATGAATCAAAGAGACAGACCATTCGTGACAATTCAGAGAAATGATAGCTCAGGTATTTTTCCCACTCCCAACTCTGTTTTATTAGTTACAGTGGATTATGTACTTTTGAAATGATATACAATTGAAATGTTGATTTTTCAAAAATTTAATAATGGAAAGCTCACTTGCTGGTTACATTGAATGATTGGCTACTTCCTTCCGATGGGTTTGTTTTAATCCTCAATGGTGATCAGGATACCCTTGCTTTCTTTCACTGTAATTGGCCTGAAATCATTTGAGAGCTTCCTACAGTCATGTGATCCATGATTTACTTAATAAATTCTAATTATATGACACATGAATTATTCACATAATTGAGGTGGATGTAGATGTTTTGTTTGACTTACTCAAATTATTATGCTTTATGCTACTTGAACTTAGAGTACCCCTTACTTATGTTTTAGTTTATCCAAATGGTTCATATCATACCAAACTAGCACATTGTATGTATTTGGATGTAGACTACTCAGACATTTTACATCATTTTAATGTTTTTCAACCTATTAGACTTTTAGCTTTCAGTTTCAACCTTTGTTTCAAATTTAATTAAATTTATTTGATTTGTCTAAGAAATGCATCTATGACTTAAAAATCTATTTATATCATTTGATTTATAATTATGTGATGCTTAATATTCGCAGTTGATGTCTATCACGTTTTAAATAAAAAGAATGGGTTAACAGTGCTCATACTTTGTAGGTTGGCATTATAATTTTCTAAAATCTTCAATATACAGTAGTAACTTAGATGAAAACATTCCTTTTGTACCCTTTCAGAAGTAATGATGTGCAAGAAATAAAGTGGCCAAATTCTAAGAGTTTCTAGAAATAGAGGCTTCAAATATATTATCAATATTGTAATTTATTATTTCTTGTATTTGCTTAAAAATGTTTAAAAATAAGATCTGGTTGCCATAATTATTTTTTGACCTCCAATAACATGATATTCTTTCTTTGTCATTTTTCTGTTTTTATGACTAATAGATAATCTGGTATTCCATATGAAAAATGAGATGAGAAGCACCAAGTACAAACCAGTAGACTATCAACAATTGCATGCATTAACTGAAGCAAAAAAATTAGCTTCTGCCTCTGCAGAGCTAAAGGTTAGAAGTTGTGTGTGTATGTGTTTTTCTAGTTTTAGAAAATTGAATTGCTAGAAAGTATTTACATTGCAAATGTGAAAATAAATGTTTGTTGGAAACTCCCAAGTAATAATAATAGTGAATAGCAACTAACATTTATAGAATGCCCTCAGACACGTTATATAGTTTACATGCATTGATGCATTACCCATTTAATGTTCAGAATAACTCTTTGAGGTCTGAATTCAACTTTATTTTTTGAAAGACAGTTAGTTTATTAGCTTTCAACAACTTCCAACTTAATCTGAAGAATAAAAATTGTTAGTAATTACCAGCCATGTACTATTATTTGATTAAGCCTCCTCCAACACTATATAAATATGCCCTCAGGTGTTCTTTTCTAGAATTCTGTTTTTGGTTTACATATATGTTCCAAGCCAGGCTGAACCTAGGCTAGATTTGAAAGGGGATTATGTACAAGTGATTGTGCACAGTATTTTAGGACCATGTGTAGTTTAGGCTTACTCATACACTATGTTTCTCTCCTGTGCAAATAATAGAGTTCATTGAAAACAGTATTTTCATTACTTGGCTGCATTAAAAAACAGGTAAGGTGAAGCAATATATTAAGTAATTTATAAGTTATTTGTATTTAAAATTTTCATGTTTTGTTCTTTTTTTATGGTTAATATCTTTTTTATAGACGGCAATTGTTATGATTTCAAAGCACATTTGATACTCTATTCTGGAGAGACTACCGTATATTCTCAAACTAAGACAACCACTTAAAAGCAGGGCATTAGTTATTTGGTTTATATAACTTTAAAATAAGTTAATGTTGGCCGGGCGCGGTGGCTCACGCCTGTAATCCCAGCACTTTGGGAGGCCGAGGTGGGTGGATCACAAGGTCAAGAGATCGAGACCATCCTGGTCAACATGGTGAAACCCCGTCTCTACTAAAAATACAAAAAAAATTGGCTGGGCATGGTGGCGCATGCCTGTAATCCCAGCTACCCAGGAGGCTGAGGCAGGAGAATTGCCTGAACCCAGGAGGCGGAGGTTGCGGTGAGCCAAGATCGCGCCATTGCACTCCAGCCTGGGTAACGAGCGAAACTCCGTCTCAAAAAAAAAAAAAAAAAGTTAATATTACAGGAACATTCAAATAAATTTTGTGGTAAAGTCACTTATGTTACTATCATCCTAACAAAACTTTTCATATTTCTAACTTCTATTGTAGACATATATGTAAACATAAACTTAATACATATTTTATTTTTCATATGATAAACATAGATATGAAATCAGGTATACTTTTCTCTTTAACATTCTGTCACATAATCTTTACAATATTTAATTGTTCAAGCCAATAAATATTTTTTATGTGCCTACTGTTTGCCCTGAAGATACAAAGGTGAGCAAAATATAGTCCTTACCTTTATGAAGTTTACTGTTTGCTGGGGGAGGGAAAGGAGTCAGTGTTTATCAAATAAGCCTGGAAGTAAAATTATCCCAAGTATAAACTGCGATAAAAAACATGCTTTCTGGTGTATAATAGGACTTGATCTTCACTGAGTGGTTAGGGAAGACTCTTCTGAGAATGGGATCTCAAGGGCAATAAAGTACAAAGTTACAATGAGATAGGATAAATCAGTTCTGGTGTTCTATTGCACAGTAGGGTGAGGAGGAGTAACAGTAAAGTATTGTATATTACAAAACATTTAGAAGAGAGGCTGTTAAATATACTCCCCACAAAGAAAAGATAAATGCTTGAGATGCTGGCTGTGCTAAATACCCTGATTTGACATATATTTGTATGTAACATATATATATCAAAACATCAAATTGTGTCCATAAATATGCACGATTAAAATATGTCAATTAAAAATATAATACAAAAGAATTAACTAGGTAAAACAGGAATGGCAAGTACTCTGAATAGAAAAAGATGCATGCATTATTATCCCACCCCAATTTTTAGATATTTGAGATCTATCCAATTTCGTGATAAAGGAATTATGCTACTTCAAGCTTAGAGACTTTTCATGTTTTAGAATCCTGTACTCTCACAGGAAAAATTTCCATGATTGGGATGTCTAGACCAAATGTATGTTTTTTAGTGTTTTTGAGACATGTTACCAAATTTCTTTCCCAAGGTATTGTGTTAATAAAGATACCACACAAATGTATTCTCTACATCCTTGTCAGTATTAGAGTATATACATATATATACATATATGTATACATATGTGTATATATATACATATATAAATGTATATATATTCATCTATATATACATTTATATTTATATTCATATATATACATTTATATATATTCATATATATACATTTATATATATTTATATATATATAAATGTGTATATGTATTCATATATATATGTATTATATATATACACACTTATATTTCTAATACCATCCATTCATCCCAGATGTACCAAAAAAGACATTTTGGCTGAATATAGAATGGCTTAGTGTTAAAATCAGTATTTTGTCAAAGTGAATTTCTCTTTGGTGTTAGACTCATTATGAAAGAATCAATATATTTCATATTTTTCATTATTATTGTGGTTTTTATAGTTTGATATTAAGTACAGGAACAATGATTTCTCAGCACTATCAGCTGCTAGATTGCTACTCTGATCACTGTATTTACATATTTGTGAGGTTAAACAGATGCTTACATTCAACTGGCATTTTAAGTAACATCACTAATCTTTTTGTTCATAGTGGAATATAATTCAGGAAGAAGCTTTTCTAGAAATAACTGTGTACCTGGGATTCATAGCTTGGCGAATCTCAAAAAATCCCTTGTCTTTAACTAATGAAAATGGTTCACAGTCTGTAGCAATCATTTTGACAAGCTTTTGCTTCCATTTTTAGTCTCTGTAGATTCCCGATGATAAGGAATTATCTTTTTAAAGCATTTCGGAATGTGTTGTTTTGAATTTCAGTTAGAACAAAATGTGTCCTAGGTACTTCATTATTTTCTAACACTTGCTTTTTTTTCTTCATGCAGTTTTCATTTTTTATTATATCTGGATTAGGATGATGCATTGGTAATATTGTTGTACATTATTTTTTGGAGTCTTCTCTTCTCATTTAATTTAGAGGTGGCAAGTTGACATTTTGCTTTAATTTATTCTTGTAAGTTGTGAACAATTGCCAAAAAGAACTTTTTCTTAAAAGACTCATGGCTTAAATGGAATTAAATAACTGGAAATTAAATAGAACTCAAAGGTTTTTTTTTAATGCTATGAATACTAAGATACCAAACAGTCCACACTAACTAGAATCATGATTATAATAGTATCTGTTATTCTTTAATATATTATTTGAATTAAAAAAATGTATAGGCTCAAAAAGAATATATTATTATTCTTAATGTTACATAGCTAACACATTCTCTCTTAATATTTGTATTAATTATCAGACTATTTCCCTATTTGTTTTAGTATTTAAATGCACTCTTTAACACATGTAATTAACAGTTTTAATAATCATTGTTAATTATTACTTCACTTTTCTCTGGCAATATTAAATATAAACATTAAAATAAAATAATAAAATGTTAACATTTAAAGCACATAAGAAGATTATAGCTTCAAGTTACATCTAGAATACTTAGCTACCTGTCTGATTTGTACTACTGATACTATGATGTGATGGTCATCTATATAATCACAGTGTCATTGATCATGCATAGTTTCTGGGATGCCAGCCATAAGTGGATAGTCAGTGATGTAGTCTTTCAAAGGCTGAGATTGAACCTGAAGACAAATAATAGAGTTGGGCTAAAAACGGAGACAAATTTTGGTACATTGTATGTAATTGTTCATTTCCACTGTATTAACTACAAGAGATCTTTGCAAATGTTTTTAAATTTGAATTTTTTTTTGCTTAGAAACTTCTTGTCCAACTCAAGGTTCTATTAATCTTTTAAAAAATGCAATAGTATAGAAAATTATAAACATATGCATAATTGGATTGAATGGTATAGTGAATCTCCAAGTCACATTCTTCAGCTTCAACAATGATCAACATTTGGCCATTGTTTTCTATATTCCTATCCACAGTCCACCCTCCACCCTGTGCCAGATTGTCTTGAAGCAAATCACAGACATCATAATATTTCACTCATAAATATTTCAACATGTATTGCTGAAAGAGTAGAGATTTTTTTAATGCCTCACAATACTATTACCATGTCTAAAAATGTTAATGTCTTAATAATTTTTAGTGTTAAATTTCCTTATCTTAAAATTTTTTTCTTAAAGTTTATTCAGATCAGCATCTATATATGATCTGTACATTATAATTGGTTTTAATTTTTTAAGATTTCCTCCTTTATCCTTTTGTATTTTGTAATTTATTTTTTGAAGAAATTGTATTGTTTGTCTTATAGTCTGAATTACGCAGATTACATCCTGGTGATGCCATTTAACATGCTTTCCTGTTTCTTGTATTTCCAGCAAATTGGTAGTTATATTTAGAGACTTGATCAGGTTCAAGTTCAATTTATTTTGACAAGAACACTTATTGATGGAAGTTTTGTGCTCCAATCTTTTTCTATTACAAATGGTGTTGCAGTAAATAGCTTTGTGCATATATCTTTTTACACTTTTGCCAATATAATTTTAAGACGGAGTTCTATAAATGAGGTTGCTAGGTCACAGGATAAATCCATACGAAATCTTGTGATACATCTCCAAATTCTCTTCTATGGAGGTTGTATCACTTTGTACTTCCGCTAGCAATATGAGACAGAGCATGCTTTCTGTAGCCTCACAGAGTGTTTTCTTAAACATTTGTGTTTCTGCCAACCTGATAAATGAGAAATTGCATCTTACTGTAGTTGTTTTTTTCTTTTTATTTATGTTAACAGTTCTTTATTGAGTTATAACTTACATATAGTAAAATGTATAAATCTTAAGGGTACATCCCAGTGAAAGTTGACAAACATATACATACATGTAACCACCATTTAATTGTCTACTAGTTATTGACATGTGTCTCAAAGGATGGATCTTCTGGTTCAAAGGGATTTTGTAATATTTCAGGTTACCTATTTGGGGTTTTATTGTCTTGTACCAACACAAGAAGCCATACACAGGAAACCACTGGTTTCTGATTCTTTTATGAATTCAATATTTTATCATTTTTCCAGAGTATTTTTAAATCATCAGCATTCTGCACAAATTATCATCCGCCTTAAGTATTGACTTCATATGGGGTATTGCCCAGTAAAATGAATTGGAATCACCTAGACATCTCTCTGCTGGCAAAAACAGAACTTTAAATCTTTTTGTTCTTTTTAAGACCTTATTTTTCTTCATTTTTGGCCCGAGGATAGAAGTGGAATCAATGAGTGAATTTATTTTAAAAAATCAGTATGTTCTGCAAAATATTGGAATTGTCTAGTGAAAAATAGTAGCTTTATTTTGACTTTTATAGTCTACTTAATTGGCCTTTCCCTGGGCCCAAAGGCAAAAGCATTGATTTTTTTCAAACTATAAAAATGTGTCCTCGTCTTTCACCAATGTATTTTAATTTTTTGTACAACATGGATAAAATATGCCAAAGAAATCTAATTTTAAAAATTGTATCTGTTGCAAGAAACTTTAGAGACTGTGTATGATAAATAGCTGGAATGAGTTTTAAGCATTCTTAAAGCAAACACTAAAGTGTCAGATTTTAGAAATACTGTGTGCTTATATTTTTTTAGTAGGTAAAATAGAGTCTGCTGAGTGTTTCCTGTGCTTTTAAAAATGTACTTTCCTCTGTACTTTTATAACTGTAGCACTCTTAAGACCTTCTTAGGAAAATATTTGACTTTGACTTCGTATTTTTTAAAAGTAATCTTTGGGTTAATTTGTTTTCTTATACCCCTAATTTTGAATCAGTAACCAGAACAGCAGAAAGATATACTCAAGGTTAAAGCAATCAGTGAATGACAGCTGGAAATAGCATGCATTATAAAGATTCCTTTTTAGAACTTGTCTTCTGAAGTCTTTATATCTCCAGTATTGATTTTTTAAAGCTTTTAGGGTACTAAGTACTTTAACAGCAGAGAAATTATGAAATATGCATATTTCATCAAGTTTCTGATTTACACTTTTATAGTTTAAAATTGTTACTATGGAATATATGAGTTCGGAGTATGCATGAGTATAAGTTAGAGTCTAACCAGGGAACAGACATCACTTGAGGATTTAGAGTAGAGTGGTTTTTAATATAGGAAAATGGGTATGCAAGTGATAGCACTGAGAAGACGGAGGACTGGGAGGCAATACAGAGATTGACAAGTACAGGAAATCACTGCCATCTGTAGGTCAGGGAGACATACAGAAGAAGCAAGGCAGTGCCACATTCCATGGGGTGAGGTTACCCAGAGATAGTTGGAACCATAGTGGAACTGCCCAGAGAAAAGTTGGAGCAATGATACCATGCAAATGCTCCTGGAGACCCTGTGAGAGTAGAGAAGGCAAGATGACGTAATCCTTCAGCTTCTCCTTTCTTCCCTGCCTTCAGTCTCCCATCCCAGTGTCTTGCTTTGGCTGAAGCCAACTGATAGGGGTGCCTGAGAAACACAGTCTGCTCTGTGAGACGGAGCAGATCAGGCAAACAGCCAGAAATGGCAAACAGATCCAGGGCTGATATAACTTTTCAGCAGAAACCCAAAGCATTAATTATGTACTATATTTTTTAAAAGTCATAAGATTGAGGAAAAATTAAGTTTAGTTGAAAATTTAGATTTCAATGCTACATGATTTTTCATATTTCTTTAAGTATCTTCAAATAAATATTTGCTTAAATTAGGAAATTTTATTTACAAAGACATACATAGAGTTGAAAGATTAAAATTGTGTGTTCAAGGTCATATTTCTAGAAAGTATTGAAGCCAGGCCTTCTAAAAACTTATCCAAGGAATCTTTCCCATCTTATGCTGAGGGATCAGATACAAACCAATCTAAACACCAAGGTTCTTTGTTACTCTGATGTTTATGAGCTTTATAATCTTGACCACATCTTTTAACTTCTCATACATTCAATATTCTCCTCCAAAAATGTGAATAAAGATGACTGTGATGGCTGATAGGGAAGATAAATCCAAAAGGGGAGAAATGAAACCTCTTGAAAAAATTTCTGGGGTTATTTGAATTAAGGTATTATTCCTTTAATGTATGGAAAATAGAATGACTTCACCTTTGTTTTAATAAGTACATTAAAAACAGTTCTTAAGTTGGTTAGTATTCCAAGCCATTTTTCTTTCTCCTCCCTGCTTTTAAAAATCAAACTTATTTTAGGTAGATTTTGTGTTAGAAGATGCACTGGTAAGAATTTAAAAAGAGGAACTATTTAACTTAGAAAATTCAGATTAAACATTTCTGTTATGGAAAACACATTCTGAAAACTTTGCACTTGCTCTTCTTTTGTTCCTCTAAATCTAGATCAGAAAAGCAATGTTGACTTCAAAGATATCCAAAGAACAAACACTAGTAAAACAACACAAGCAAGTGTGGTGGCAGGAATACCAGAGGCTGAATGAAATCAGGTAAGAAATGGGGGAAATAGTAAGAACACGTAGGAATTACTAGGACTAGCACTTATCTTTTCAGATGTTCTATAACGTTCCATGTTAATTAACCATTACAATAAAAATTTAAAGTTACAATTTGAATGTGAGTCAGATTAAAATCCTTTCATTTCTTCAGCTTAATCTGAAATCCAGTGAATATATTAATATGGCTTTTGTTTCCTGTTGGAAAAAAGATAATCTTCTGTATGTGCCAGTCACTTCCACACTCCCACTCTTATACTTGAGTTTAGTGTTTACCTTTTTATACTTAGCATATTGGATTATAATGTTTTGGTTACATGTTTTTTCTTCCCTATAAAGTGGTAAACATCCTATCAAGGGCAAACATCTCATCGTATTCATTTTTATATAGTAGAATACATAGGAGAGATGTAAATGCCTTTAATACATGGATGAACTAATGAACAAGGAGTTCAAGTCATGAATCGTTTCTGGATGTAATTGAATCATGACTAACTTACTCAATTTTGATTTTTGACTGATTATTTCCAACATTCACTTAAAGATAAATTAAAATGAAATATTGATTCTATAGTTGATCTTAATTTTAATCTTTGAAAAAATAGTTTTTTGCAAAGGTCAAGGCGAAAAGAGAAGGCAAATGTGTTTCTCCTTCATTTATAGCATATATATTTGTTTTAATGATGATATTTATAAAGTGTGCTTTTAAAACGTGCATTTTAAAGCATTTATTTTATATCAAAGGAGGTAATTTCTGTGGTCTTATTTTAAGTAAAGTTTCTAAATACTATTTATTTTTAGGTGTTTTCATGTTGATGAGTTTCTTATTCTGGCAGATGGCTCCTCTATGTGAAATAGAAGGCTTATAATTGAAAATGGCTTTACATTATTGTGTAACTTAAAACAAAAAAAAAGTTATATGGATTTCATCACCATACATATACTATTAAAAACAATAAAATTAGACCCATCGTATCCCACAAAAAATCACCTTTTGTGGAGAGAATGTTTGAGGCTATTGAAAATTTATTTTTGGAAAATTTGCATAACTTGAAACATGCTAAAAAGGAAAGCCATTAGGAAGATTTAATTACGGTGTTCCATGATGCAAGTTCAAATGTAAAGGAAGACACTGGGAAAAGTTTTTTTTGTTTGTTTGTTTTTTTCAATCTTGGCTATTCCACATCTTTTTTAATATGTATATTAAGTTGTTCTTAAGCTAAGTAGTAGAGGTGAATACATATCATTATGGAAAATAATTCTTTTGGCTGACCTAGAATGACACAAAGAAAATGGAAGTGAGGAACATTTAAGTAATAATAACCTTAATGTCTCAGTGTCTCAGAATTTGTAAGGGCTGAAAATTGGACAAAATGAAGAATTCCAGGATAAGTTTATGTGTTATTCTAGATTGAAGGCAAATTTCAGTATGTGTTCAGCGCAACTAAAAACTAACAGCAATGGGAGATAAGTTAGAGAAATGACTACCTTGTGGAGAATTTAGGGCCACCAACAAATTAGAAGTAGTGGAAGTCCTATCAGTGTTTGTCAACCTTTAGAAATCAACATTCCCTTTTAGTAAGTAAGATTCTATGCCTTATCATAAAAAGACTACATTTAAGAATCTCAGGCAGGCAGAGGATAAGGGCCTATAATGACCCTAACATTTGTTAGGTAATTTAATATGTGCCAGGTAGTTTTAGGTTGAGCAAAAGCCACAATTATTTTGCACTAACCAAATATGTTAAGTCCTTTACACATTTTATCTCACTTAATACTTACAATGACCCTACAAAGTAGTCATCATTACTCTCCTAATTTTACAGATGAGAATCCTGAGTCTTAGATGATGAAAGTTATTTGTAGATGATAAATAACCTAGTCTGTGTAGAGCTAGGATTGGAACACTTGCCCCTAACTTCTATGCTTTATGACCTTGGAGTTGAGTAGCTTTTCCTTTTTTCTACAGGGTTCTGTTTACATCACCTGTGATCCAGCTGGTCTAGCCTTGCTGGCAAAAACAAAAGAAGTTTTGTCAGGGTGTGGTGGTGCATACCTGTAGCCCCAGCTACTTGGGAGGCTGAGGCAGGAGGATCACTCGAGCCTAGGAGGTCAAGGCTGCAGTACATTATGATTGCACCCGTGAACAGTCACTGCACACTAGCCTGGGCAACATCGTGAGACCCTCAATATCTAAAAACAACAACAAAACAAAATGAAAACATGTTGCCAACCTTTAATTTTTTGAAATCTGTTCTAAGAAAACTACATAAAATTTTCAAATGTAAAATTATGTTTAATATTTACATTTATACAGTTTTATTTAAAATATGTTATGCCTTATCAAACTATACCCCTTGAGGTCTTTGATACACTTTCCCAGAGGCACTTTCTCTCTTGTTTCATTCTGGTACCACAAAGACTCCCTTGAGTTTTTGTGTGCTCATTTGCCCAGATGACTTATTAATCTACTCAGTGCAACCACCTACAGATAAGACACCCTGGTCAAGGGCATTTTTGAGCCTTCAGGTGTCTACCTTGGTATATGTTCTTATCCTTCCAGGAAGGTGCCAAAGTTCTAGGTGGGGAATCAGTCTCCTCAGAACATCAAAAATTACCCATATCTTCATTTTTCTGGCAGTTTGTATGCTCTGTTATGACTTTCTGGGTGCCGAGCTAGATGGTTTTTAAGTGCTATGTTTTTGGTTAAACAAATCTGTTCTGGAATAACTTCTGGTTTGACTCAACGATTATGCACTCATCCTCCATGTAACAGTTGCAAATGTGATCTTAAAAATATTTCTGGCAGAAACTACCTGCTGGAAAAATAGACAGTGAGGTTTCATTTACAATATCACCCTTCCTTTATACATTTAAACAAAAACCAAAACCCTGTCCAATGTAAATTGGCTTAGAAAATAATGATATATACATAAAATGGAATACTGTGGAGTCATTACAATGATAATTATGAAAACTATTTAGAAACATCTAAAAAAATTAGTGTTAGGCAAAAAAAAATCCTGCAATATAAAATGTTAAATATGCCATGGTTATGGCCATGTGCAATATACATACATGTACATGAGGGCTAGAAACTTATCTGGAAAAATAAAAATAATTGTATTAAAGTTATAATTGTTGCTTCTTTATTTTATACCATTTTAATACTGTAATAATCATGATACAACTTTTTTCTATGATTTAATCAAATCTGCCATAAGCAAGGGAAGATTATAATGTTTTTGGATGCCCATTTAGAGTTAGTTATGGTTTTACTCTAAAAATTGACTATATTTTAAAAACATATAGGCCAGATATGGTGGCTCATGCCTGTAATTCCAGCCCTTTGGGAGGTCGAGGTGGGTGGGTCACCTGATGTCAGGAGTTCAAGACCAGCCTGGCCAATGTAGTAAAACTCTTTCTCTACTAAAAATACACACACACACACACACACACACACACACACACACACACACAAGCTAGGTGTGGTGGTGCATGCCTGTAGTTCCACCTACTCAGGAGGCTTAGGGATGAGAATCACTTGAACACCAGAGACAGAGGTTGCAGTGAACCAAGATTGTGCCACTGCACTCCAGCCTGAGTGACCAAGCGAGACTGCATAAAAAAAATACATATGTACATACAAAAAAATGTGTACATATTTATAAGCTCATGAAGATCTGTTGCTCTAATTAGCGTATTAAAAATAAAATATAATTTTACTTCCATCTCCGTAATTCAGGGTCTCATCATTTCTGAACTTTTAAAATTATCTCCTTATTGTTCCAGGTTTGTCTGACCCCTTCTCCTTCATCTTCCATCTCTATTGCTCACATCTCCTTCTGATCTATCTTGCTGCATTGGGAATCTTTCTGAAACCCGCATCTGAGGAGGTGAGGTCAGCTTGCTGTCCTTCAGTGCTTCCCAATGCACTCTCCACATGCTCTGCCAGCACCTGCTGTGAGCTGGCCTTTGCTCCCGCTGTTTCTTCTGCCTGAGCCTATGTATCTAACTCAGTGTCTAGCAAGGACCCAAGCCATGTTAAGAATTTAGTACAGTACATGGTTTAAATAAATGAACGGATGACAAAGCCACATTAGATTAAATATCTCTTTGGTTATTTTTTTAAAACCTAGATGTATGTTCATGATCATAACATTTATTGAGCTCACATCTATTTCAGATGTAAAATGGAATCTGAAATAAAATCCCTTCTCAATGAAGAGAACATTGGAAATGAATGTCTTTGTGACCTTACACATTTTGGTAAGATTTTTTGATCCCATAATTAAAGGGGAGTCTTATTTTGAAGAATGAGAATGGGCCACTCACTTCATGTTCTTTTAATATTAGCTGCCATTTGTTTTTTTCTAAAGGAATCCCCAAATCGGCACTCTAAGGATCTGTTCTTGGAGATACTTAAAATAATAATAATGTGTTCCTCTGATTCAATTTTGTTTCACCGTAGAGCAAGAGCTATCAGAGCAATGGCACACATATCTTAAAAATGTGATAAATCCTGTTCAGCAGCTGAGAGCAGATCTAAAATACAGACAGCGTCACACTTTGCAGCATTCACACCTACATATTGAGTTTAACTCCATGAAAGTATTGGAAGAGGTTAGTATGTTACCTTTATTTTCGATAATGTAATATTTCATTTTTGTCCCAAGTAGAAGAGTTTGAGATAAGAAACAAACATGTGCAATTTGTGTATTAAATCATATTAATATGTAATTGATATTTAAATAGATCAGCTAATTCTGTCCACTAAATATTTTAAACACATGCCTGAACTCTGTCCAGGCACCCTCATTTCTTGCCTGGAATGTTCCAGTGGCCTCATAACTGGCTTCCCAGCTTTCATTCTTGCCTCTCCTCCCATTGCATCCTGGGATCTTACCCCAGTGCAAGGGGATTAAGTCATCCTGCTGCTGAAATTTCCCAGGAGCTCCTGTGAGTACCTAAGTCCTTCTATCCACCTAGCCCACTTTTTGCTTCTTCAATCACATCTCCTAACTGACAATCTCCCTTTCCCATAAAAGCTCAGTTACCACCCTGGCTGGCCTTCTTTCTGTTTCTCCTACATGCCAGGCCCATTCCTGTACTGGCCATTTCCTCTGTCCCATTGATGTCACTTTTTGCCATTTAGATCTTGGCTTAAATGTCCTCTTCTCTGAGAGTCCTGTGCTTAGAAGCCACAGTCACTCCCTATTATACCACCCTTTTTGACATTGCCTTCCTGCTCCTGACCCCTTCCCACATATCTTTATTAGTTTGTCAGCTGCTTCCCCTCAACTGAGCATAAGCTTCTTGAGTATAGGTGTGCTATGTTTGATAAAAATTTAGGTGGTGGTAAATTTTTCAGTTACTCTGTAATGTTGTTATATTGCTTTTATAAATAATAAAAAAATAGAAATGTATGCCCAGATGGCGATTAGAGGCAAGGGTGCAAGAGAAGGAAGGGGTGATTGGAGCAGAGACATCTAGTAAGTTCTCTGCATTACCACAGAGAAAATAAAAATGTGGCTGCAGAGTGGCTGTGACCGCACTGTACTTTCTGAGCTTACTTTTGGGATGTCTGGGAACCTCATTGCAGCTCATTTGTCTGATGAGCACTGCCTACCTGACTGGCATCTCTTTAACTTTCTTCCACAGGTCTTTAAACTTAATCACTGATTGGCTTTTGAGAATAATTCTTGTGTCTTTATAAGAATTGAATGAATTGCAATAATTTGCATGCTACTTGTTCCAAATGTCCTGTAGGTTGACTTTGTGAAGAAACAATTGAAAGCTGCCTTTGAAAGACTTAGTCTGGAGCAACAGAGAATAGAAAATGATCTTTCAGACTGGACTATAAAGGCAAGTGTGATGTGGCTAGTAATTTATGTGTTTATCAATTTGTTATTTATGTTAAATAAATAATCGTATACCTTTTTTCAGATACTACATCATTCTTTGGAAGAAAAGGCTAACCGGCTTAGTGAACTGCCCATTGAATTAGAAAGTTTGGAATGCCCATACCCTGATTTGAAATCAGCAATCCTTAGTGAGTTCTTTAAGTTTACACAGAAATATCAAAAGAAGCTTCAACACTTTGATTTGCAATTGGAAGACATATACAGGTGATAAGATAAAACTAACTGAGTCCTGTGTAGACTTTTGACACTAACTTTTTATTTTTGTTTGGGATCACTATACTTCTGATTTACTGTATAATTACTCTGTAGTTAGAATACAATCAATAAATGTTTAGATTGACTATTTGCTGAATGGAGAGGGTTTTAGTTTAAAAAAAAATTCTTGACATAATAGCTCTTAAGATTATTATAAGGTTAAAACATGATGAAAATATCTCTCTTATTGAGCTCTTCACTACACAGGTAAGAAATAGTTTTCAAATATGAATTTTCAGTAACCACAACTTTTCATTTCAAGATACTCTGCAGTAATTGATACAATGGAAAATGTACCCATAGAATTATGTTACTTGTAATTGACTGTAATTTTATCCTATGATAAACACAATATGTTTTCTAAATTTTAAAATAATTTTTTCCACGTGTTAAATTTCATTTTTAGGAAATACACTTCTAGTTTTCTCCCAAGAATGATTATCCACGTCTGCATGGCAAATATAATGTTCAGTGATGTAAAATTCAGTTTAGCAGTGGTCATCTTCTCTAGCATCTTCTACATTAAAATTCACTTAGAAGACAAATCCAGATACACCACTCTGAACTTGATCAGCGATCTACCTTATAGTGTGTATAAGGTTTCTAGGGGACATTTTGTAGAGAAACAGCTTTGTGTGCTATGATATTGACCTCAATATTTTCCCCAAAGAATGTATATTTTGAAAGAAAAATACTGAAGGGCCACGTTTAAAATAAATTAAAATAAAAGGTTTATAACTTTGGAATGGAAGAAAATGAATATGACAAATGTTTATATTTCTTATGAATTGCCTGTTAACTGCAGCTCCTCTGTATGAAACTACTACTAGTAAGAAATAAATACCAGGAGGAAAAAAGCCTTAAATTATACCAAGTAGAGTTATTGCTTTGGTAGCTTCCTGATGCAGACTCTTCAGTTGCAGCTTCTATTTGTCTCAGCACACTTGTCAGTGAATAGACCCAATCCTAGGTGAAGTTGGAGCCCTTTTCTTGAGGTTAGCTTCTCCCCATCACACACCTTTTTGTCTCCTGAGAGCCTTTCCTTCCCCATCTCTCTCCTTTCTTCCCTCCTATCTTGCAATAAAGCTGAGAAATAAATTAATAACATGTAATATACACTTGATGATGGATTAATTATGTTAACTGGAAGTCAGTCATAGTGAGGTACTGATGCAACCATGCACTACAGTTATGTCTCCAATTGTTAAATGAACATTCTCCCTCCACTCCCCGTCCCAATCTTATTAAAGAGATTTTAGAACTCATCAAGAAAGAGGATTTGTTTGTTTGATAGTGGAGAGGGCATTATAATCAGGCTGATTAACTGCAGCTGTGAAGAAGGTGAATCTGATCCTATTCATTTAAAGCAAGTTGGCTGGCCCAGGACCTCCTCTCCCAAATGATACCTTGTCCCCCTGAGAAAGCTGACTGAAATCATGATGTTTCTAGATTAGCAACTGCCTGACAGGGAGGAGTTTGCCTTAGCAAATGGCAAGGAAGTCTGAAATGGCTTCCTTCCAGTAAGACCTATTCTTCACAGCCCATTTTCTTCTTTCTTTTAAATCTAATTTCAATTGCTGCTCTTTCATAATGCAACCCTGTGTGACTCAGAAACAGTTGGGATTCACAGCTACACTGAAATTACTGAAGACTAAGTGGAGGATTAGATTAATATACATCACATACTAAGAGTTCTGCAGAAGGAAGAAATATTGAGGATAAAATAGCTTAGGAAGGCTTGATGGAGGAAGTAAAATTCACTATGGACTTTGAAGAAGGGGTATGCTTAGCATAGGCAGAAGGGGGTAGAGAGGGCATTCTAAGAAGGGAGATTAAATGACTAGACTGTAAACCCCTTGAGGACAAAGTAATTTAGTAGTTATATTTGTATCCTTAGCATCTTCTAAATAAACGATTGTTCAAGTGAGTTGAATTTGAAGGGAAAAACAATGAAGGCAAGGCTTGTTATGGGAACAATAGGAATCTACTTTGGAGGAAGATAAAGTTCATAAATTATAGTTTAATAGTCTGGTTGCCACCTATAATTATCCAAAATACATTTTACACAGTTGATGATGTGTTTTACTCGATGAATATTTATTGAATAAACTTTAATACTCAGTAGTCATTGCAAGCTCCCTGGTAGGGGGTTCAACAGACAGATTAGTTTAGTATATGGCTTTGCCTCTGAGAAAGCTAGAAATATTTGGGGAAAGAAACATGTATACATTTACCCTGACCAAATAAAAATAACATGCAAACGTCAACTAAAGAAAATATTTTATAAATATGTTGGCAGAAAATAATGAAGCATCAATAAAAACTGAAGTTTCAGGAGTTGGGTCTTTCATAAGAAAGAATAAAAGAGCTATTTTAAATAAATACAGAGGTTGCGACTCTCAGTAGTCCATGGCTTGTGAGCAGTAGGACATAAAAGATGCTGATCTACCTAGGACAACAAATTATAATATTATTTGTACTTCTAGTTTACCAGTATCTCTACTACTGTGATATGGCCTTTTGCCCTCTTTGTTCTAATTATTGGGTTCACATAGGTTGTGTTCATGTATGTGGGAGTGTGTGCATAGACAGTTATACACTGCTATGCTGTAAGAAAGTTGAAATATCCAGGGGACATTTTTAGTTATGAAAGGGTTTCATTGGGTTAAAGGCAGTGGACATTATGGTTAGTCCCAGTATTTATTCTAATTCTTCCTGTTTTGTAGTAGCTCACTGGTTTGGTGTGAAATGATTCCATCTCTAGATCCAAAGATAGGCAGTGATTGGGAGTACGTACCAGTCAGTGCGATCTTATTCCCCCAGGTCACAGTGACTAGCTCAGGGATGTCTAATCCTCAGGAGAGGATTAGATGAATATGCATCACATGCTGATATGGTTTGGCTATGTCCCCACCCAAATCTCACCTTGAATTGTAATAATCCCCACGTGTCAAGGCTGGGGCCAGGTGGAGAAAAGTGAATCATGGGGGCAATTTCCCTACTGTCCTCGTGGTAGTGATTAAGTCTTGAGATCTGATGGTTTTATAAATGGGAGTTCCCCTGCACAAATGCTCTTGCTTGAAACCATGTAAGATGTGACTTTGCTTCTCCTTTGCCTTCTGCCATAATAGCGCGAGGCCTCCCCAGCCATGTGTAACTATGAGTTAATTAAACCTCTTTCTTTTAAAAATTACTCAGTCTTGGGTATGTCTTTATTAGCAGCATCAGAACAGACTAATGCACATGCTAATATTTCTGCAGAGGAAAGAAACATTGAGGATAAAATAATTTAGGAGGATTGATAGAAGAAGTAAAATTCACTGTGAACTTTGAAGAATGGGTAGGGTTAGCATAGGCTTCCCTGAGCAAAGCTCAGGACTTTTGTTAGGTGCTTGTGAGAAGCAGTTATCTTTTCTTCTGCATGGCTGAGGTTGCTGCTGGCAGTCATCTGGTGACCAAAGGAAGACAGCCCTTGAAGACAGGGCAGAGACGGGGAGTCCTGGAGAAACTGAGCTGGTGCCTTATTTGAATGGCATAGGAAGTCCACCTCACTGCTGGAGTTTTAAGGGCCATTAGTCCAATTATTGTCTTAAACCAGCGTGACTTGAATTTTTAGTTGTTTGCAACTAAAAACATCCCTAATTCGACACAATAGTTGATTTGGCTTCAAAATATCCATAACTCATGGAATTAATCTGAAGAATTATTTAAAATATTCTAATTTATTAGGAAGATTAAGCTTGTAAAATCAACCAAACTTTAAAAATGAAGTTTAACTAGTGGTTGAGGGATGGGACTTGCACAGCCAAATATAAATACATATTTTAAAATCAAAATAAGTTAAAGTTCTATGTGACTATGGAGTATGTAGCAGATCAGTAGAATAAAATAGAAATAAAACAGAAAAATATGATTTAATTTAGTATAAAGGCAAATTTCAAAACTGGGGAATATTGGATTATTTAAGAGATAGCATTAGATAACAGGCAATTTTAAGATAAGGTTAGATCTCTTCATTCTATTTGACACAACTAACTCCAGATGCATTAAGATATGAAGAAGTAAAGTCATAAAAGAATGAGATAAAAATTAAGTAATCTTGAAATGCAGAAGACAATTCAAAGCCTATTTTCAGTGAAACTCATAAAGGAAAAGTTTAAATAAATACAATTACATAAACATTTAAAAAAATCTAGCATGATAGTTTCTCAGAGAAGTTTTAACTCTAGTAAATAGAGGCTTTTGGTTTCCAGTCTAGCACATAGAAATATAGTTGTCACTAGCCTCTAACAACAAATAAAAAGCTGAACAAACTAAAAAATGAACAGCTCTTCTTTGTTCTATCAGATGAGTGAGACCACAGCGCAAAGTGCTGCCCCCAAAATTGGAGAGACAGGAAGATACAAAGAATTACAACTTACTGGAACAGAAACCCATGAGCAGAAACCTCTGCAGGAACCAGTAATGAGCTAAGAATCCCTGAACTGTAATTGATAAACTGCTAGAGGCTCAGTGTGGACAACTCTGGTAGTTAAAAACTCCAGGAAGACCCAGTCATAGGAGATGCTCCACATTTTTGTGAGTTTTACTCCAGGAGCTATAGTAAGTCCTCATTATAAATATCTGAGAAAAATTCCCTTGTACTTCTGGCAGCAGGAGGATGAAAGGAACCAACTTGATCTATGCATTCAGGGCAATGCCAGTCAAAATCCCAGCAAATAGATTTTTGGATATAGACTAGCTAGCTGACTCTAAAGTTTATGTGGAAAGATGAAAAACCCATATAGCCAGATCAATATTGAAAGAGAAGAGCAAAGTTGGAGGACTGATACTCCCTAACTTTAAGACTTACAGTAATCAAGATTGTGTGGTATGACCAGAGAATAGCCAAGCAGATCCACAGAATAGAATGAAGAACCAAGAAATAGATCCACATAGGTGTGATGTTT